GTATATAGTAGAGCCGACAAGGGGCAAGGTTGTGGTGACTTTTCAGCCACAACCAGCTACCCGGAGGGAGTGAGAACTTGGACCTGTGGGCTCAGAACCACGGTCGCAGGGGACATCAAGCTCAACTGGCATAACATACTAAAAAAAACATTGTTCCACATTCTACTTTGGGGAGTAGAGACTGAGATATTAAAAGCTTGCAAGCTAGCAGCCATTTAGATGTACATCATGCAATCCTCAGCATATATGACTATAAGACCAGAAGAACTAGATGGTGCCCAGCTACCACTGTCAATGACTTGGAGGTGGATCTATGTAGGAGATCCTGGATAAAGTGGGAGAACAATGTGGAACAAAACTCAAAATCATAAAAATAAATAAATAAATAAAAGGGACCAGGTTTGCTGGTCTGATAGAGCCTGGTGGAACCGCTGAGACTATGGCCAAGAGCTGCCCTTCAGGTCTGAAACTGAACCCACTCCTGTGGCTTCCAGCCAAACAAGACAGACTTATCAGCTGAACATTTACATATTTACATTAGGAAGATACACTCCTTGGAGAGATCAATCATGGGAGAATAGAAGGGCTGTGTATTCACCGGGAAACAGCCCAGGGGGCAGGAGTGCATGGGAGGGAAGGACACAGGGAAGAGGCAACTATGGGGAGGAAGTGGGACGAGAGCTGTCCCATTGTGGGAAATTGCAGTTAATGTCATGAGACAAAGTGTATGTGAACTGCTGTATGGAAAATGAATTTGCTCTGTAAACTGTCACCCAAATCACAATAAAAATAAAAATTAAAATTAAAAAAACTGTCTATAACATAAATCCCTAGTATAAGAAATATTAGTAGTGACTGCCATTTACTTGCGGATCTCTTTGAAAACTTAAATTCACCTTTAACCACAATATCAGTATGATCAAAGCAAGGCGATTACTACTTTATTCTTATAAATGTCCCTGGTTAACACCCACATCTTAATCTTCAAAGGCAACACAAAAGGAGCACTATTATGTTTAAGAAAAAAAAGAACTATGCTCCAATATAAAAAAAAGACTCTTGAATATCTTATTAAATTTCCCTCTCAATGAACAGATATAATATTTAGCATTCATTATTCCTTTCACATTATAAATGAAATATATTTAAACTGTTAATTTAATAAATGCTTAGAAAAATCAATCATCTAAAATGCATGAGTATGTTTAAAACTTTTTACATAATTTTAAATGTTTAAACTATTCTAAATTGCATAATACAAGAATAACAGAGCTCTATACAATAGCCTTGAATAACAGGAATTATATAATTACTTTAGGAGCTCTGGTAGCATAGTGCCGAAGGCACTTGACTGTTAACCAGAAAGCTGGTGATTCAAACCCACCAGCCACTCATCGAAGGAAGGTTGGGCAATGTACTTCCGTAGTGACACCTCCTCAGAAACTCAAGGAGGGGTCGATATGAGTTGGGTCCGACTTGACAACGCATAACAACAACAATAACAACATATAATTACCTTAAAGCTAGAAAGCAACCTGAACCATCATTAAATATGAAGACACCGTGGCTGGTCTTACGTGGTCCTCATAAGCCAAAAAACCCAAACCAGTTGCCATGGAGTTGATTATGACTCATGGGCATCCCCTGTGTGCAGAGCAGAACAGGCTGTGCCCCAGTTTTCAAGCTGTGACCTTTTAGAAACAGATCACCAGGCCTTTCCTCCAAGGCGCCTCAGACTGGGTTCAAATTGCCAGCCTTTTGGTAAGCAGTCATGCACTTAACCATGTGCACCACACAGGGACTTAGTGATAACCATACTTCCAGTCTTGTCCCCGTCAAACCATCCTCCACAGGACAGCCTACATGATCCAACACATCCTCCACTCTGTGCTTAAAATTCTTCAGACTTCTCACTGCCTAGACCATAGAATTCCAACATCACAGAAGTACAAAATAAAATCTCATCACATGAATAGATAAGATACATGCATACTCATGCTCATCACATCACTATTCACAATAGCAAAGAGATGGAAACAACCTAAGTGCCCATTAATGAAAGAATGGATAACCAAACTATGGTACTTATACGTAATGGAATGCTATGCAGCACTAAACAAATATGTAGAGTCTACAAAACACCACATAATATGGATGAACTTGGAGGACATCATGCTGAGTGAAATAAGTCAATCACAGAAGCACAAATATTGCAATAGTTCACTACTGTAAAAAGTCAAGGAAAGGATTATATATGGAGGGAACTTACTTTATTGGTTACTAGGGAGAGGATGGGAAGGGAGGAAACACTGCTAGGTAAGTAGAGACAAGTACTGATTTGGGTGAAAGGAAAGGTAACATACCAAAAGCGACTGACCAACAACACAGTAACACTAAGGAAAAGGATGACACAGAGGGGTGCACAAGAGGTACAGACCTCAAAGATAAACCTTTTTCTGCATTATCAGTGGTAACAAATATTAAACAATGGGTAAATATATGGGAAAACAGGCTGAATGATCAGGTATGTCTAGGCAAAAGGGAATATACCCATGGCCATGACCATATATATGGTGGGAGCTCTGGTGGTGTAGGGTCTAAGGCATTCAACTGCTAACCAGAAGGCTGGCAGTTCAAACCCACCAACCACTCCTCAGAAGGAAGACTGGGCAATCTACTTTTTTAGAGATACTGCCTCAGAAACCCAAGGAGGAATCACTATGAGTCAGAAATGACTTGATAGCAGTGAGTTTTGGTTTTTTTATATATAAGGTTGGCATACGATATTTCTACATACATGTTTGTATGTGCTGTAAAAATGTCCAGATAAATAGAACAGAAGACAGAGTTATGACAACTTCTTAGGCACAGTCAATCACTCTGATGGAGTAAGTTGGTGGACCTGCGGGCTAGGGACCATGGTCATAGGGGACAGCAAGCTCAATTGGCATAACATGCTACACAAAAACACTGTTTTACATCATACTTTCGGGGCAATCTACTTCCATATAGATTTACTGCCTCAGAAACCCAAAGGGGGTTAAGATGAGTCAGAATTAACCAATGGCAGTGAGTTTGGGTTTTTTTGTTTGTTTGTTTTTTTGGAAGTAGCAACTGGAGCCTTAAAAGCTTGCAAGCGGCCATCTAGATGCAACGATGGGTCTCTCCTCATCCAGGACAAAGAAAAATGAAGACACTAAAGACAAAAGGAAACAATTAGTCTAAAGAACTAGTGAACCATGCAAATCTCAGCCTATTGTGACATGAGACCAGAAGAACTAGATGATGCCCAGCTACCACTGTCAGCTACTCACATAGGGATCAGTGCAGGAGATTCTGGATAGAGTCCGAGGACAATGTGGAACTAAATTCAAAATCATTAAAAAAAAAAAAAAGACCAAGTTTACTGGTCTGATAGAGCCTGTTGAGATGCCCTAGACAATGGCCCCTAGTTACCCTTCAGGTCTGGAATTGAACTCACTTCCATGGCTTCCAGCCAAACAACAGACAGGCAGATAGGGTGAACATTCACATCAAGTAAATACACTACTTAGAATGATCAATTATGGGAGATCAGAAGGGCAGTATTTGCACAGAGAGATAGCTCAGGAGGCAGGAATACATAGGAAAGAAGGTAACTACAGGGAGGAAGCGGGAAGAGAACTGTTACATTGTTGGGAACTGCAGTCAATGTCACAAAACAAAAGGTGTCTGAACTGCTGTATGGAAAACAAATCTGTTCTGTAAACTTTCACCAGAATCACAATTTAAAAAAAAAAAAAGTCATCATCTGGCCCCACTTACCTGGTCCAGTCTCCTCACCCATCACTTCCCAGTCCAGCAATACTAATTACCTAGTTTCAGGTCCTCTCCCCAGCAAACTCCTAGTCTTTCCAGACTCAAGAGTTTACCCTCTTATGCAGTGCCTCTTCTCATGTCTCCAGTCTGTGGCAATCCTGATTCTATGCCTCTTCAACAATTTGTTTTGGAGCACACCTCCATCAGCCCTCCACCCTGAATTGTAATTATTTCTGCCTTAGTCTCCACTAGCTCTGTGAAGGCGGGGATCTTGCCTTTTCATCGTTATACCTCCTGTATACATGACTCTACCTGACACAGTTTCTACATAATGAATGTAGCAATGTCCTATTTGCAAGTGATACAGTCAGAACTAGAACTCGGACCTACTTACTCTCTCTACAGTGCTCTTTTTATGAACGTAAGTGAAAGAAAAGTAACAGAGTCAGGGATGACAGATCAACCTAAAATATCTAGAACATGTGGCCCACAGAGGAAGAGAAGTGTCCTTTTCATATGTCAGATGATACTGACTAGATAGCGCTGGTGTTGAAGGGCACTGAAGGCTGATGGGCATGGCTTACATGACAGCCAAGGTTACACAACTACTTAGCGGTGGAGCCACGACTTGAACCCAGGCAGTCTGGCTCCAATGTCCGTGCTCCTAACACTTCCCTCCACAGCCTCTCAATAGTGGTCAATTATACATTCCTGAGCTGGACCAGTGGTACAAACAAGAGTGTGTCTTGTGGGCAAAATTATGTGGGTGACGAAGTCTCCCAAACCGCTCTCGCTCAATCTAAATCCACTCCTAGAATGGTCTTCTTGGCGGTGCTTGAATAGACATCTACAGGTCAAAGCCGGGCTGCGGGGCAGAGACCTACGTGACTGCTAGGAAAATGGGATAAAACCAGTGTACTAAAATGCCTCGCACACCTGGCACGCTGGTTCCGTGTAACTTACTTCAGATCTGGGGCAGCTTGGAGAGAAATACAATACAGAGCTGAGGCAGAGCTTGGTCATGCCCTCCTCGGCCAAGCAGAAAGCGGAATTCACCATCAAGTAACAACGTCCCCGCCCCCGGCGCGCCCTAGCGGGAACGATTGCCCACCACCTTCTTCCCAAGAGCGAATAGAGCAGGACCTACGAGATCCTCGGGGTCTCCTGGCCCCTCCAGAGCCCCGCACAGTGCCCTCCCTCACCTGCCGGCCCCAGGTACTTGACCACCCCCTGGGTCTTGAACACCTCCCGGGCAGCCAGCAGCGCATCCTCGCCATGCACCGTGTAGAAGTCGCCCCGGTCGAAGAGGCGCACTGTGGTGGTTGGCTTCTCCGGCATGCCCTGGAAGAAACGAACAAAGCCGGCCTCGGCCACGCTCTCCAGCTGCAAAGTCTCCTTCGGCTGCACCGCCATTTCGGGACCTCTCCTCCGCCTGGCTGAGCTAACCGTGCGACCCCGCACCCACCAAGCTGTTTCCGCCTCCCCTCCCTTCAGGAGCGACACCCAATCAGCATCCAGCGCTGAGTTTTGGTGGGTGGAAGTCCTCCAAGGCAGCCAATCATAAACGGAAGGAGCCCAGCTTCCCGCGCACGCTGTGGCTCTGTCTACTGCGCATGCTCGCGCCTAGGTCGCGCGCCGACCCTGGCAGACGCGCATCCTTAAAATAATGCAGTCTCCGGGTTTTCTCGACTGCAGGATTGCGGAATCCAGGTAGATGGATGGCTAGGCTAGCGAACCAGGTGGAAAGTTCCCGGCAGGCTTTAAGCTTGATTAGTGCCCGGAAGCATGGTAGTGAAATCAGAAACTTGCAAACAAGAAAAAAAAGAAAGTAAACTGCTCTAGCTTTGTCTCCCAGTTCAATATATTTCAGACCTGCGTGTCCCTCTCCCCAACTGCCTTTCCCTCCTTTTTCGTTCTTTAAGCAAACTGCCAACATGGAGATTACAGTTTCATTATTCTCCACAATCACTTTACTGCTCTTCTTTAGCGAAATTCTCGTTTTCCTTCACTCAGCGATTGATTTATTCATCCAAAAACATGTTTATATGGCTATGTGCCAGACTTCGAGGCTCGGAGAATCACGAGTAAAGAGAAAAACCACAGCCTTTGTTCAGTTTACATTCGAACGGATAGATTGAGCAATCAACATAACAAGTAAACTAAATGATATGTTAAAAGATAAGTCCTGGGTGGGGGGCGGGGAATAGCACGAGCTGGAGGCCTTGAAATTTTTTTTAATCTTAAGCAAAGATCTGAAAGGTGAGGATCCTCGCTTAATAAGATATTTCCCTCTCCTCTTTGGCTCACTTCAATGAAAGTGGCGCTAAACCTAAGCAGTAGCAGAGCCACCCCGGGGGATTTTCAAACTATTCCTGGGCCTCACTCATATCTAATGGATCGGACTTTCTGGAGGAAGGAGCCGTAGTGGCGCAATGGTTAAGCGCTTGGCTGCTAATCAAATGGTCAGCGGTTGGAACTCACCAGCCTGTTCGGGAGAAAAGACTTGTCAATCTTGTCCCTTAAAGATTGCGTCTTAGCAAGACCACCCAAAATTAATTTAGGACTCCCAACATGAGATGGTGGTTATGCTAAGGGCTGAGGTAAAAACTCCCATTTTGAATCAAGTGTAACATCTGCATCAAGAATTGTTGTTCTTGTTGTTGTTGTTGTGTGCCATCTAGTGGGACCCGACTCATAGCGACCCCTCGTTGGGTTTCTGAGGCGGTATAAGTAGATTGCCCAACCTTCCTTGGAAGGAGTGGCTGGTGGGTTTGAACCGCCAGCCTTCTTGTTAGCAGTCAAGTGACTTAGGCATCAAGAATACAATATATATATATATATCACTGTCCTTGAATCTGAGCCGACTCATAGTGACACCTCCTTGGGTTTCTGAGGCGGTATCACTACAGAAGTAGATTGCCCAATTTTCCTTCCAAGGAGTGGCTGGTGGGTTTGAACCATCAGCCTTCTGGTTAGCAGTCAAATGCCTTAGATACTAAGCCACCAGAGCATTAACAATATAGCTTGTCATTTCTGTAACTCTCCACTGTACCCTGGGAAAATTACTTGGTAAACAATTCCAGAAAACAATATGGTGCTGTTTGCTGAAGCCAGGTCCAAAAGAATTCTCAGAATAGATGCCTACGTAAAACAAACTTTAGAATTATGTATGTCCTCCCTGCAGTCACACAAGGAGGGTCTCATGGTTGTTTTGAGACTAGATATACCCATTTTAATAATTACATTGTAACATTAAAAAAAAAAAACCTTCAGAAATAGATGTAATCTCCTGCGAATCAGATGTACCATCATCCAATTTTGTAGCCATTACCTAAATGTCAACCAATCACTGAATTTTTACAGAATTTCCTCTCTGACCTGTCTCCTCCTTGGATCACTTAGTTCAGAATCCTCTGGACTTTGTGATTCTCAATTTGCAAATTGCCTTACCTCTCAATAAAAGCTCTTTACTTTTAATTGTTTGCCAGTTTTGCCCTATGACACTAAGAAACTCTATGGGACAGTTCTACTCTATTCTATAGGGTTCCTATGAGTCAAAATCTACTCAGTGATATACAAAAAAAAAAAAAAAAAACCTCAACTGTCATCATGTCTTTCCCAACTCACAGCCACCCCCACACAACAGAGCCCTGGAATCTTCAAAAAGCTTTCTGGATAAGTATGATGGGTTGGAGCTGTGTCTCAGCTTGGCTGGACCACAATTCTGTGTGGTTTAAGCAATTGTGATGTGGGTTGTTCCAATGATGGAATCAGATGTATGTTTTGAGCAGCCAATTCATTGAAAGGGAGTTTCCCTAGGGATGTGGCCTGCTTCCAGTATATTTATGGACATCCTGGGAAAAGAGACACTCTTCTGTGGATCAGGATCCTGTTGTGGTGCCTACAACTGTCTGTGAGCAAACAATCCACCATTCAGCCTGGAGATCTTGATTTTGTCATTTCTTTGGAGTCAACAGCCAGTATACTGCCTGCCAACCTTGAGCTGCTCAGACTCTGCAGCTGCGTGAGTTGGGAAAAGCCTCCAGCCTGACGTTTGATTCAAGAATTTCGGACTTGCCATCTTCTATAAATGTGTGAGCCATTTTCCTAAGATAAATTTCCCTTTCTCTATATATATAAGCTTTACTGGTTTTGTTTCTCTAGAGAACCCAGTCTAACACAATAAGTTTGTATATCAACTCCTTTTAGAAACTAAACTACTGGCTTACAACTTAAAACTCAGTGTCCCTTGGGGAAGCAGAGACTGACACCATCTGACTACCTTTCCAATATCTCTCACAGCCTGGAAGTACCTCTCTCCCTAACTCTATGATGATTTGGGGCCTTTTCAAGCTTTTCAAGACCCACTGACTTCAACACAAACTTGTTCCTCTTCTCTCAAATGGCCCTTTCTTGCCTTCATATAACAATCTCCTTTTTGTCCTTTACTCCTCAACTCAGATCTCTCCCAGCATTACCTGCCTACTCTCTCCAAGTGTACTTAATTGCATTATATTCTGTGATTCCACCTCATTTATATCTCTATTATAATATTTGCTACATGGTTTTAGAAAACCCATCTCTCTTACCAAGCACCTAGAAAAGACAAGAAAGAGTATTTATATTTCTTAATACACATTCATAAGGTTTTCCCTGGCCAATTCTTTGAGAAGTAGACGGCCTCTTCCTTCTTCCTAGTCTGTCTCAGTCTATAAGCTGGGCTGTTACCTGTGCACCAGGTGCATCTC